ATTTTTTTTTAGACATATATACGATAAAAAAAAATATGCTGATTGATTAATTCAAGTTATCTGAATAGATAACAGAAAACATGTTTGGAATTGCTTTAAAACCGTTGTATTTGATTGATTTGTTTAAGCCTATATATAGGTAGCGCTCTACGTGCAATACCTCCGCTTTGGCGTTATTTCGCTTTGGCGTTATTTCGCTTTGGCGCTTTGGCGTTATTTCGCTTTGGCGCTTTGGCGGGTTTTCGCGTTCCGGTTTGTGATGCGCATGCGCAAGGTGAAGGAATGTCATCTTTATATTGGAAGGAGTTTTCTGTGCTGAATGTTAATGTTTCCATGTTGATTCTTGAATGTCAATCATATAAATCCATAAACTAGATAATACTCTGCCCATTTTCACTTTTCATGTGCCGTTGACCGACATTTATGTCGCATGATTCTCAACCATCTATGATATTATAGCCAAACATCTGGCACATTGCACGTATTTTTTTCTGTGCATGCTCGGAAAACTTAAACTTTCTATCGAGGTAAAGTCGAAGTGGTGCAGCAATATAGCATAAAGGATATAGACAAGTACGTTTATCTATATTATGCTATGTCATGTCATTAATCTGCCCCTGCGGTAACAGGAGGCCCACTGGAAAACAAACACTCCTTGCTTGTTGTTGCAGTTTCTGTCATTGTTTAAGATACTGAAAACAACTAACAAACTCTCATAGAACTTATTTGAAATCCTTCATCGACCACCGTTAATTGGATTTAACTCAGAAGATAGATTAAGGGTTTCTCTCCTTGGCCAAATGGATGATATAGATCGATTTCATGTACATGGTAAATTTTCATTAAAGATGCCTTAGGTGTAACTTAATTATATATATAGAAAACAGTGCATTCGGTGCAGATAGTTCTCCTGGTGGTCGATGGCGCTGTTCTCGTGCTATATCGGGGGACGGGGAGAGATGTCGTCATGTCCACCCAGGTATCGTTCGGTGTCGAGGATTCAGTGGTGGTGATTGTAGTAGTAGTAGAAGCAGTAGTTGTGGTGGTGGTGGGTGGTCCCGGGCTTTAGGATTTGGAAATGGCTTCAAAAAACAAAACAAACAAACACATAAATTTTCACAGCGTCTACACTTAAATTTCATACCTGATTATAAAGCTATGACTTCGAGGTGTTACCAATAATACCGAACCGCGAGGAAAAGATTAGACGCCGTTGATCATAGGTTCACACGTTGACTGATTGAAGTGGTTACGGGTGAGTGAATCATATAGCCACTAAAGTTACGGGTAAGATTATGACGTAAATCTTTACCTTTCTCGTTCCGTTTACTCTCGGTGTGGCTGTAGCTGTCTCCGCCGTCGATGGATTGAACTGTGAAATGAAAATACATATACATGATTAAACGAAGAAGTAAAAAAAATAATAAAAAAATGGATGCTCCGATAAATATTCAACATAAATTAAAAGATGTTACCTCTTCTAGTGTAAACTTACCTCACACGGAACATTGTTGAGGGTCACAGCAGGAAAATCCTGGAAGACGCTACAGTTTAATGCTGTCCTTCTCACCCCGATGTACGTAATGTTGGGAGCCTGATCCCTGGTTAGGTTGAAAAAGGCAAGCCTGGAAAATATCAACCTGGTCACCTCCAGTGTGGCGTCGGTTGAGGCGCTGTATACTTTCGGGGGGCAGGTCATCATGTCTCCCTTTCTTAAACAGCTCGAGGGAAACTGCTCCCCTCCCATCGTTCCGATAATTATCATCATGATTGTAATAATTAGTCCCGCCATCTTGACCGCTGTCACCTCGATTGTCATCGTGTCACTGACNCCCCCCCATCCCTCCCTCCTCCTATCTGCGTGTCCACTACCTTTGATCTCACTGACCTATACGGGCGATCCCCCTCACCCATTATTCCCCTCTTATCTTTTACCAACACATCGAAACCTTTGATCTCACTGACCCCTCTCACACTCATCGCAATATTATGAATACGTAATACCTAGCTAACACCATCACACTTGTATACAACAAAATACCCGACGACAATAAAATAAAATATTCACTAGAGAAGTTTTATACAAATCAAAATATTTATTAAAACTAAGTTACTGTTTTTACACTAAAGCCGTGGACACTATTAAAAAACATTTATAGCATTTCTACACTACGAATCTATTAGATGCTCGACGAAATCCTTCTCAGATTGTGGGGGCGAACATGTACCGAGTATTTCGTTACAATGATAATGGTTTAATAATAACTCATCTGTCTCCTCCCCCTCCCCATATTCCCAATACCCCAAATCTCTAGCCAGGACAATCATTAACTTCTTGAGTTCTCTGTCAGAATTAGGTAACGACCGAGGATAATATTCTAAAAGAAAGAACAGCTTGGCGTGTGGTACTTTGAACAACGACACACCAACAATGAATTTTGTTTACATGATATATATCACGATAATCGGGGTACAGTCTTCTAAATGTGTTCAGCGCTTCTGGGTAAATGTCATTTTCTATCGTATTGTAAGTATTTCGCTGATACTCGTTACTTAGATAATACTGTGTATAGCAGAACGAAAAAACATCTATACAGCACATTATACGAGCTGTGAGATATTTCATGCGAACATGCAAAGCTTTATACGATAGTATGAAAAGCGATGGAGGTGTCAAACCTGAAACAGAAAAACATTTTTTTTTTAGATAACTATATCGAGAGGTTCACTGCGAATGCCACACGGTAAAACTTTACGTTTTGGGTAATAGTTGGTAAACCCGTTTCTTTCATGCGCGTATGTAATAATGCGGTTATCTACCACGCGAAACCCCCTGTTAATTCCAGAGCGCACTGTTGTATTGAATAGGACGTCCTTATACATATCAATCGGGTGTCTTAATTGACGTTTATTGATACCTTTACAGCTAATTTTGCTCTGTTTCTTTTTGTTTGCTAGCCGCTCTACGCAGTACGTTTTAGAACAGAGTGCTACCATTACGTCACCCCTCATCTCCTCCTTAAAAAGTCCGGGAGTTCTCCGCGTGTACATTTTTGTATGCGGTGTGTTATCATCCGGGAACCATTGTTTTTTTTCACCTTCAAATTCGCTTTTCAATTCCGGTCGTATCAGCTCCTCTAGGCTCTCGTTAGAAAGCGCCATGTAAAAGGAATCGGTATCCATTTCTATTAATTCAAAATCCTGTCTTAGTAGATACTTATCAAGGCAGTCATAATAGAAACTCAGCATGCGCAGTTTTGCGTACTGGAGAATGAAATACCCGATCTGTATAGGTATGTCCATGCGAATCCGGCTCTTGGCGGTTTGAACTTCATATTGTCCTTGACCGAGCTCGTTAAGGCTTCTGAAATGTTTCGAATTTACCATATCGTAAATTTCATATTCGGAATTCAGATACTTTGTATTCGCGTGCTTGTCTTTGCGCATCAACATCGAACCGTATGTTGCGTTTCCTGTTAATTTACTCGTTTCGCTTATTACACTCAGTCTCGGATCTCTATCCCCGGCGCGTCTCGCGTCGCTGATTTTTTCACTAAATTCTTTGAAACAGCGTTCAGGTGAAAACTCCAGTACTGTGTACACGCGTGTTATCACGAGGCCGTGTTCGAGATACCACTTCAACAGCGGTGTGGCTACTAGCATCTTTCTCGCCGCCATTGCACCAATTAAAAGTCTTCGCGGTTTCTTTGATGTATTAAGTTGATTCGCCACTTGTTTCATGTACTCCCCTATATCCTCGGGAGACACTTCCGCGTTTCCGAATAACGGTGACATTTCTGAGAACTTGTCGCGTAGGTGGTCGGGAACAGAAATGTCGACTTCCACCGCACCGAACAACTCGTTTCTTAAGACACATCTAATTCTCTCGTCGGAGGTCATAGTTTTCCTTTTTTCAGTGGTTCTGCGGTAACTGTCGCAGTGAGACTTTAGAGTAGCATCCTTTCGCGCCATGCGGTCAAACTCGCATTCCCAAATTCTCCGGATCTGATACCCGCGTGATCTGATGAATCGAGAGCGCTTTTCGGTGTGTGTCATACGTTTTCTCTGTAACGTTAAGTTTACATTTCGTAAACAACTATGCGAATGGTAGAAACACCCGTCAAATTCAAACACGGTCTGTGATCGACTGTCAAAACCGTCAACGCGATACGGTCCTATGCGAAATTCTCTGGCAGAGTTTAACGCGTGTTTGATATCTATGTTCTCCGATTTCGATACCCAGTCCAACCATCTGAATGCTTTTAAGTATCTGTGTCTCCGCTCTAGTTCGAAACCGGTTTCCTCGCGTCTCACGGAACAGTATCCCGTCGGCATGGGTTCTGCCAGACATCCTAGATACAGCGAATTCGCGTCTAGACCTAATATGCACTGGCATACCTTCTCTCCGCTACGAATGTACGTTTTACCCTTTTCGTGGTACCGGGTGAAGACGATAGCAGGACCACCTACTATGTTCCTTTGTATGATTCCATGGAGGTTTTTGTCTCGTTCGTTAAACAGCGAAAAGTGTGATTTACCTTTAAGTGATCTAAATAGAAGTTGGCGCGCTACCCCAGGAACTGATATCGTTGTTTTAAACACATCTACCTTCTCCTGTTTGTAGTACACGAGTAGTCGCTGCACGGCATCGCGGAATGGGCCCACGTCTAAATTGTTGTAATAAATTAAATAGTCTTTAAATGTACTCATGTTTTCACTCACCCAAACTCGTTTTAACTCGTCATATTTTTGTTCGCTGGAGAGGGGTTTCTCCGAGACACCCATGTGCGACAGAGCCTCTCTGTGCGAATAACCATCTTGTACTAAAGATTCATATAGTGCGCGTTCTCCTGCAAGAATATTACATTGTTTAAGACTACTATAGAAACTCTCATACGGCGGCAATCGCGGGTAATCCAATTTGTCAGGGGAGTCTAAAAACTCATAACAGAAATATCCCTTACGCACATTGCCCGGGTGATAAGCCTTTATAAATGCATCGTATGACGATCCGGCTGCTAAGTAGTTGCTGATGTCGATAAATCTAAACTCATCGGTTGCAATGCACATATACTGATTGGTCTTTTTCTCGACAAAATTATCTTCGTTAGCGCCTAGATTCAAAACTCGGACAAGTCTGGTTTTTATGAGATTAATGTCGTATTTCTGAGAATTGAATCCAATCACCGGTATCTGTCCTATGTATTGTTCTAGTCGTTTTTTCAGCTTTGATAAGTGTTTGCTTCTATACTGATCTTTTTCCACGTCACTATCGTTTTCCTCACTATCGCTCTCGTCGCTCGTCAACTCTATGTCGATGTTGTCAAAAATATCGTTATATCGGGGATATAGATTTTCTCGCGCTACTGATTGTATTTCACCGATGTATTTAACAAATTTCTCGACTAACACATCAGTATCTTCAGCATCAACAATGCAAACCGGATCTTCATACCCAGGTACATTTGATGAAACGCTGCAAGATACCGGGACGTGTTCTTGTAAATAGCGATCAGAATCGGTCAACATAGATTCGAAATCACAGGTGATGAAATACGAGTAAAACTGATATTCCGGGTCTACGTCATAACCGTAATCCTCTAGTTCTTCAAAAACCGTGGGAGTGACAGAATGGTAGCCTCCTGGATAGATTAATTTTGTCACATTTTCACAAGTCTGTTCGTGTTTGCGTAAAGCGTTTGCGGTATTGAATAATTTATCGCACGTATTACACCTGTATTTGCGACTGTAGCTATCCATTTTTTTAATGAAACTTAAATGACCGTTGTGAACATTCATATTTATACTGTGACCATAGCGACCCGGAGTCTTCCAAACGTACTGGACTTCTCCGGATTCCTCTAATCTAAACACGTTGAAATTCACGGAAAAATGTTTTTCTACGTTACCTAATTCTGACAAAGGCGTACAGTCATAACGTTCCGCAGTTACTGTCCCGTTTGTTTAATCACGGAATAACTGCGGTGCTGTCCTTTCTAATTTTTTCACGTCTCGGACTCTGTCGTATGCCAGACAGCGAAACAAACATAAGTTGTCGTTGAATTGGCGACCGGAGTTCTGATCGTGAGTTAGCGAAATGACAGATCTAGAGTTCTTTATATGAACTGGCAAATCTACACGGCTGCCGAGTGGATAACTAGTCCTAGTAGCTACCCATCGGATGTTTGTTAACCGGTAGACTCTCCATTTCGTTGACGGTCTTTGTTGGAACACGTGTTCCAACAAATCCATTGATTTTAGCTTTTCGATAGCCCGTTTTATGTCCGTGATGTTACTAATCAACACCGGACTACATGTATCAAAAACAGTCTCATTATTGTGAGCGTAAAAATACCTCATGTCCCCGTCAGCGTTAACTAACGCAAAGCCTAGTGATAAATTCACCTTAAATGCGAACCTCTGCTCCCTGAATATTTCTGTAAGCTGGTTTTCGATAGTATCAAAGGATAATGCCGAGTCAATCACCGGGAAATTAAATTCGTCTTGTATTTTTTCTCGTCGGTGAGGCATGTTTATTATAGGTCGAAATTTGTCAACTAGTTTCTGAAACATGTCTGCATCGTCATCATCATCATCGTCACTGTCAGTCTCATCCTCCCATCTACCACCCTTATCCTCGTCATCGTCATCATCTCGTTTCCTTTTGTTCTCATGCCGTTCCCTTT